CTGATGTTAAATGATGGTTGAATTCAGGTAGCAATGATGATAAGGACGGCAGAATTTCCATACTACGAAGACAGACAAATGCAAATAGTATCGTTGCCGTTGAAAAATTCTGAAATGGAAATGTTAATCATTTTGCCAAAGGAGATATTCGGACTAGAAGATTTTGAAGCAGAACTTACAGGAGAGAAACTATTCAATTACATTGACAAACTTGTTGTGTCAGGCAATGTTACGGTGTGTTGTATTTTCTTTTTATGATGCTTTGCTTAATTTTTTCTCTCCATTTGGTCGTAAATATTCTGTTCTTTTGAATTAACAAATTGCACAGATTTCAGGCAGAATGTATGCCTCAGAAGTTTTTTGATCAGTTAAACTAAAACATGTGGTCATTTTCAGCATTAAAATCAAAATCGAAATTTCAGTAACCACTCAAATCTATCAATCTTTTCCTTATTTTTCAGTGTTAGATGACCTAACGCATAAAATTTTTTAAAATTGCAATGGATTTTAGGTTAGAATGCCAAAATTCACGTTTAAAAATAAGCTATATTTGACAAGTGCACTGAAGAAGATGGGAATGCGATCAATGTTCGAGCGAACGGCTGATTTTTCCGGCATTTCTAATAAAAAATCACCGACGTTTATTGATGTTTTAAACATAGCTCATATTAAGGTTTTCGGTTTTACACTGATTTAAATATATTTTAGTCAATTCTTAATTTAGATTAAATCGATCGATAATTTATTGTTAAATTCATGCTTCTGATAAGATCCATTCCAACATTATGATAAACAGATAACTGCAAAAAACATTGAATTCAGATTAATGAAAAAGGAATCAACAACAAAACTTCATGCATCTCAATAGATGATGTTGTGGCAATCGGAAATGGCGAACAATTTATTGCCGATCATCCGTTTCTCTATGTAATTATTAACAACCGCGAGACAATTCTGTGGATGGGTCGTTTTGCTCCAAAAAAAAGAGAAATGATTGTCGAAAACTTGGAGAAAGTTGTGGAAATCAAGGAAATACTGAAAAAGAAGGAAAAATAAGCATGTTCTTATGGAATAAGCATTATCAGGCAATACTATACCCAACGATTAAGGAATGATAATATCATTTGATTATTTTCACACAAATTGTTTATTTTGAAATATGTTGTCGAATAAAACAACCTCATTAATTTAATCCAAATTAGCGCCATCTATTGCTTTCAATTGCAAGAAATGGCAAGAAATTCACCACATCAATCCATTTGGATCTTATAATTACAGGCTCTTAGATTGAATGTTATCTGATTTTGTTTGCTTTCTGTTTTGACGCAAGTTTTTGAGGTAATCGTCTAAAAATCATTATGAATATTAAGGTTATGTCAAGATAACTTTCACTATTTTCTAAAATCTTTCCATTCTTGCTTGACTCTTTTAAAAAATTAGCTGAATCTATATTTATTTATATTATTTATTCCATTACCTTTTCAACCTTCACGAAATGTCACTTTTCATCACCAATACATTTTTTGCATACCTGGATAATTTTTATAAAATAAAAAATTTGGAAATTGTGAATAGAGTTGGTGCAAGGACACAATCTTCTTTCACAGCATTAATTATTGGGAAGAGCT